AAGTAGATGGTACCGGTCTACTAAGGCGCTGTTCCCGGTCCTTTAGGCACAGTCTGTCAACGCAGTCACGACTTATGAAGTTTCGCGTGGAGCCAATGTCTACGAAGGCGCCTCACTTGCGACCGCCCACATCAACTTCCACAACGAAGTGCTCCCCTCTAGGACCTCTACTCAGTGCCACCCAGGATTCACGAGGGTCCCTTGCCGACCACTCACCTTGAAGGTCCTCTAAGGCCTCAGACACATCCAACGTACAGAGTATAGTTGGGTCCGAATGCGTCTGCGGGGTGCCTAAGGAGTCAATAGCTTTGGCCATCTCGCGAAACGGGGAGGGTACATCACCCGCTTCAACAAGGTAGAAGCAGCTATAACTTCTACTGGCCCTAAGTGTTTCCCGAGCTGGAGCTCGTAGAGGCCCCAAACTGAGAAGAAGAAACCCACCCTTAGGAGGGATCTTCTGCGAGACCTTCGAGTTCTTGCATTTGAACTGCGTATGACCGTACTCACCGCAATTAATGCAAGCACCACGAGGCCAACGGTCCCGCCACACATCTTGATCTAGACCTGCTCTAACCCAAGCAGCTATTTTGTTTGGGTTAGCGGCCTGCCCCTGACTCCTTTGTTGATCGCCCTTCCCGCGGCCACTTGCCTTAGTCTTAGCTGTGGCGGCGAGGTTGCTACCCTCAACAATCACCTCACCGCCAAATTCTGAACCTTCCACAAGTTCAGAGACATCATCGATCTCGGTTTGGTTCCCATCGGAATCAACCATTATCAATCGACTACCCTTTTTCTTTCACTCTTGTGGAGTCTTCTTCTTTTTCCCATCCGTAGTAGGGGTTTGAGCACCACCCAGCGTAGCCTCTAAGTCTAGGGCCTTCTTGCTGAATGTCTCAAATGTGTGATACTCGCGTTGAGCCTCGCCGGCTAATAAATTCCTAATGTCTGTGGGAAGACATCTCAGGAACATGGTCAGCAAGACCTGTGGATTGTACTCCACTCCCGGGACGACGATCAGGCGCTCTACGGTTGTGGTGAGTTCTCGAACTTCTCGCACAGACTTGTACTTCTTAGTATCAAGCTTTAAGAGCCCATCAGTGGCAATCTGTGCCTGCCGAGGGTTGTGCCAACGAGCCTCCACTAATTCCATAAAGCTATCCAAGGTGTGGGTCTGCGCCATGCATGTTCCTGTCGAAGCCCTTTGAAGCTACCAATCCGTTTAGCCAGCGGGCTGCTGAACCCTCTAAGTAGGATGCAACAGTAATCACTTCTTCTACCAATGTCCTTTTTGCCCTCACCCACACTGGCACCGTTCTCAACAATGTGTCGAGAGCCTCATCCTTCTTGTCTCCTGAGAAGGTTGAAGGTGGGTTCGGTGGGGTCTTGGGATACCAAGGATATTGCTGTCCCGCTTGTGAGACAGGTGGCGACTGTGGTGTAGCAACAGTCGCTGGACCAGAAGATGAAGAAGCAACAGTCTGAGATAGAGTTGCTGTTGATGTAACACTTGGTGGTGGTGTAGACTGTGCGGCATAGAGGCCTGTCATCGCTGAGAGTGGCAGCGATGGTAAAGTTGCTGACCGGATCCCTGGCTTATGCAGCGCTTGCAGAATCTGGTCTAGGGTATCCTGCACTGCGTCCATCTTACTGTCTATGTACGCATGCATGGATAGGACACTTGCCTTCAGGATCTTTCCTGTAGTGTTAAGGGCAGAGTCCTCTCATGCCTCTAGCACAGCCATGTCTACCTCCCTGCCCTCTAATCTAACACTTCTCTCTTTGATTTCTTTCTCTCTCTTAGTAGCTTGCATAAGTTCCTCCTCTAGCCTTAAGCGGATCCTCTCTACTTGTCGGAGCTCCATCTGCTCCCAGGTGCGTGGAGGCGGCGAGCTGAACTGCGAGCCTGCCATCTGACTAGTGCCAGCCCCTGACGTACTGGAGGTGGTCTGCGAACTGGTCGGCATGCCTAGCCCTTGACCAGTTGAGTTTGCAGCAGTAGCCATTGCTACCGCTCTTGCTGCTGCTGCTTCCCTCGCAGCCTCAAGATTACGGGCCCTAGCTTCAGCCCTTAATCTTCTCTCTTCTCCTGGTTGTAGGGCCTGGAACACTCTAGGAATTCTAAGGGATGATAGCCTTGTTATCCTCCTATCGTCATCTACTCCTTCACCACCCTCTGATCCACTCAAAGGTTAGGCAGACGCTGTCTGCACTAATGTCCTCGCTGGAACCTACCGCAGCATGCGTCTGACCGGATCGGAAAATAAATAATTAAATAAATGTCCGGCGAGTTACCTAGTCTACTAGTCAAGCGGCATCAACAGCATCTACACAAACTGTAAGATTCGAGGAGAACTGACTATGGTAGATTACAGTCCTACTCTGTCTGTTAGGTGTCAGCAGTCGGTCAACCAACTAATCAAAATAAAACTTAGACTAATGTGAGCAGATGTATGCACAATGGATATGTCAGTGATGTACAGTTGAGTTCACAATTGGAATCCCCTTCCCCTGTATCCAATGTACCTATGAGCATCATCAAGCTGCGGTGTCTAAGGTGTGCAACCACGGCCCACCCCTGTGCCCAAGAAGTATGCTTATGACCAGCCTGCCCCTTTGTTTACCCTCGCGTGCAACAAGCCTTAGGTCTGACTGATCTGGCTGATCAAGAGGCAATTTAAGGACAGCCCCTGGAGTCCTCAGGAATTCTTTAACGTCGCAATCAGGACGACGATCACAGCCAGTGGACAGTTCAGACCCCAACCAGAAATGTTTATAGACGGTCTGGGAGCGTCTCAATAGGACTGGTCAGTCCGCACACGCCCCTTCTATCAGCGCAGCAAAGAGCCTCAATGGACAAAGCAGCATGGCCTGCGTGTACTAATACCCATGGGTTGGCATGGTGACCGTGACCCGTGCTTCGACCAGGGCCCTTCAGAGGCACCGCCCTCTCCTGCCAGATGCGCCACCGGGAAGAATGTCGTCTCTCAAGATAGAGCGCACACGACTCCTCACCAAAGAGAGGACACTCAAGTTGGACTCACTTCCTCACGGTAAGAAGAGATTGAGAGGGTAGATAAGGAATGGGAACAACGTACCTGGAGATAGCTGCCCCCAACCACAGATTTCTCACCAATTGGGCCGACGTGCATTTCGATGACCGGTCATTAGCCTCGGTACCACCCACAACGCAATTGAGTGCCACCTCAGCCAAAATGCCATGTCAGCATACTCTCATCATCATGCATACACCCGCTGTCGCCACAGCTCCCACGCTGTCGCCACAGCCTTCCAGCGGCCGGCCTCTCTACCTAGGCCCCGCTAATCAACCAGCGCAAAGTATCCTCACTGCACTTGAAGCATCGTCAGCGCACCAAGTCACAATGTCACCGGTGTCAGGTAAGCGGCGATCACAACCAGCTCTGATACCAAATTGCAAGGAATATGAGTGTGAGCGATATACATAAAACCAAGTTGCGAAATCACACAGCTGAACCAATAGTAGTGTCCCAAGCAGAGAGTGCAAATGCACCGAGAAAACCATCCATAAAGAGCAATACAATGAAGTAATGAGCCAATGTCCAAGCCCGTAGGCCACACCAACACAGTATCCAAAGT